AAAAAAAAAAAAAAAATTCACTGACTAAAGTGAGGAGTAAGGAACAGTAAAACCCAACATTCAGGGACCAGCATTTACATTTATAAACAGCTATTTCTCTGTGCTGCTTAACCCTTTCGCTGCCAAGGACGTACGTCGTACGGAGCTACAAAAGTGCTTCCAGCTGGCCAGCAGTTAATTTATTATTCCATGAGGCTTTGCATACTCATGATTACTTTTTCTATCAAAAACTAGTGAAGTGTATAAAGCCAACTGTTCAAGAACTTTCCTTCTACACTTCTAAGCAATATTAAATGCAACAGATTATAATGGCACTGCATGTTGGGGCAAAGATGCTGTTTAGAGATAAAGAAAATGGGCAATAGTTGAATAACTAGAATATAACAGGCCAGTAGCATATATATCGACTGGGGTGGATAATTTTGATAAACACTTCCCCCCCCCCCATCCCAATACATCAAAATAATTTTCAGTGATGATCATGAAATTGAACATCATGCATGCTGGGGCGGAAGCTGAAGTAGCAGGTGGAGGGCGGACAGCAGTACCTGTAGGTATGATTGTAAACAGAGAAACTGAATTTAACAAATCAATATGCCCCGACATGCAAAAGCTCGGTGATGCAGATATCTTGTATAGTTATCAACTTTTAAAATAGTTAAGTGGAATGCTTTGGAGGCATTAGGAAGAAAGCCGAACACCTGAAGGTGTGGCCAATAAAGTGGGTGTCGCTTCACAGGGTAGGGCTTGTATTGTGGGATTTAAAAAAAAAACCCAGCTTTGGTGTCATTTGCAGTAATAGTAGCCCTACCTAATCTAAGTGGCTTCAAGAATCTCCCTTCATTGCAGATAAGTGGCAGTCTGGAATAACCCTTCCCCCCAGCATTGGTGACCAGTGGCTAGTTGGAATAGTAGCAGAAGCTCTGGGTTATTTTCCTATTTCCCCTTACATAGAGATCACCTATTGCAGTGTACCTCCAGCTATTTTAAGTTTCTTGTCTTTCAAAAGGAGCTGTTGGCCAATCTACACAATCAATTAACGGACGCTCTCCGACATGGAAACTAAATTAGTCACAAGTTGAATGTTCACAGACTTTAATCTTGTGCAGGCCTAACAAATTATAAAACCCCACAGCATTGGTGTTCAGTGTTTTACTTAGCACATGTTCCTGCACCAAGCTCCCTCTTCCAGCATTATAGTTCTAGCTCTGCCTGACAGTTTCGACTTCTTTCAGTGTCTAGTGCAGGAATGCAGAGAGCATTCAGACAAAACGCTGCCACTGTGCATATGGTGCTACCTGGTGAAGACTGCCCCCCATCCTTGTAACAGATGCCACAGCTGATTTAGCAAGGGTCATCAAGCTAGGTGTAGAGTGTGAGCATCTGAGTTCTACTGCTTAGGAAGCAAAGCAGAAGCCCAGGGTGAGATCTAGCTAATGCCTCTAGAAATCCCTATGAATCCACAAAAAGGTAGTTTTTTTTCCATTTTTTTCCTCCACGTATAACCTAAAGCCTATTTGCAGTTTCGAAACTATTTAGAAACTAAAGGAGAGATAGAGGGAGCATCAAAATATAACTGTAATGTAATTGTGCTCCAGTGCCAGACTACACTTTGAATCCTGTTAGCAAGCTAAAGATAAAGACCATTCCTCTCTGTGTGGGAACAGTGGTCTGAGCTCTTCATTCAACAACGCTCCCTAGGTATGCGACTGCAATCTGAGGTCCATGCATACTTCAACAGTAATGTGCAATTACATAAACCTATTCAATGTCATCCAGAGTATGAAAACTAGACCAGTCTACAAATAATGGTACACACATGAATCTATCTGGAATATTTTTGAACTGCTGGATTGCCATTGAGGAACTGAAACTACAGGAACTGGCTGGCATTGTAGGAATCAGGCAGAACGATCTGGTGTAAATAATGATGTAAAAATGGTTAGCAGGAAGAATATGACAGAAAGAAACTTACTCAGTGGCGGCCCACTCCAGAAGATCACTGGTATTTGTAAAAAGATGATTTTTCTCAAAACCTGGATTGCTGCACATGGCTGTAGGAGTGAGAGACTGAGGTGAAAGTGAATCTGTACTACCCGTAGATGTGTCTTCTTTGGGAGAGTTGTTGTCATCTGTTAAATTAAATACACAAATGGTGACCAAATTTGTGAATGCGAGAAACATCAGTGAACATATCTAACTAAGATATACACCACTGAGTAAGAAAAGAATGATCATTAACACGGGTGCATAATATATGAGACACAGAACGTTCAGATAATAGTTAGAAAAAAGCCTTAAAAAGGAAACTTGTCAGTAGAAAAACACAGCCATTCCCAAATGGTCCTATGGTACCACAATATTTAGAAGGTGAATTTTATGGTTGTAATAAAATGATAAATCAACTTGTAAAGCATATTTGGCTTAATTAATCAATGTGTGCTACATAACAATGGTTTCTGTTTCTCACATCCACCAGTGTAAAAATGTACACATATACAGTCTAAAAGGTAAGTGTGTGTGTGTGTGTGTGTGTGTGTGTGTGTGTGTGTGTGTGTGTGTAAATAAAAGGCAGCATATGATACATTTTATGGCTGTTTGTTTATGTATGCACTAAACGCTGCACTTTAAAAAACGGCAACTGAAATTTTTTTTTTTTGTATATTAAGACCAAGTAAAACATGCATGCTGAAATCAAAGCAGAAAGTTATTCAGCAGGACTTGAGCGACTTCAAATTTCTAAATAATAAGGGCAGCCAAAAAAAATTTACAATGAGGTCAGCTAGTGAAAACAATTCATTTTCTGCAACAGAGGGAAAAAGTCAGTTTGTGCCAGGGCTTCATTAATCATAGTGAAAACTTCCAAATGATACAGAAGTGAAAGTAGAACATTTTAAAAATACTAAATAAAAAGGGAGCCAATTTACAGGTGCCCGAATATTGGGCAAGAAAAAAAAAAAACCCACATTTTAACATTGCTTTAGCAAAAACACATGCTTCTTAAATGACATAAAGCATAGCTAAACACAAAAAAAATCTGGACAAATTGGGCTTTTTGTAAAAATAAGCAGAAAGTTGAATTAACTTTTGTTTCAGTTAGAGCAATACTTTACCTTTCAAGGTTTAGTATGAATATTTTTGGGAACAAAAGTAGCCATATTGAATTAAAGATTGCAAAGTGCTAAAGGAGTCATAACAAGTCACTCCGGGGTAGGGGCACCTAACCCAGTTAGCAAGTTACACTCTCCAGAGGTGAAACCTGTCTGCTTTACTACAATAGCCAACAGAGTAATCCCATACTTGGCATATTTTCTAACTTAGTTTGGAATGCAATAATGGCTTACAGTTATAGCTAAATCCTGGTCACAAAGCATGTCTTCTAACTCACATTAGTTAGTTTTTACTTTATTTCTTTCTACGGCAACATGCATTGCTGAACGTCAGCAATGACCATATGAAAACAAGGTCAGTTAAATAGCAAAGGAAATTTAATGTTGATAATGAAAGGTTATGCACCTAAGCTGGGGCCTTTGGTACAATCAATGTTGCAAAACAGAGAAAGATATATTATATATATATATATCACAATTTAGAAATGTATAATCAATAATAAAAAAAAAAATCAAATCAAACTGAAACTGCATTAGCATGCTTGGGGAGTTTTGTACATACCAGACAGCTTGAAACATAGTACAAACTAGGTAAAACAAACTTAAAGCCACGCTAAAAAAAAATTCTGAACGCATGGCAGCATACTAAAGTCACTTTACTGCACTATTTAAAGAAGCATCAAAGAATATTCATGACTGTGAAGCTTCTAACAAAGTAGCCATTAGTATATCACAGTATGTGCATCTTCTCCTACAAGATGAGTGCAGATTCTACATGCCGCCAAGAGCATCGACTATCATGCAAAAAGGACCCGAGTGGCTAAAAGTTACTGTTTTACTCATTAACTGGAAGAGTTTTTGGAGACGAAAAACAGCCGAAAGTTCTCATCTAATCCCAAGTGCCACACTTTGATGATCTGAAATATAGTAATATAGCCAAACTGCCATTGACATTTACAACATAACATGCCCATGTATACTCAATGTGGTATACACAACCTCTTTAAATGAGAAAACTAGGGAGACAGAAACTTGTCAAAGAAATGTATAATCAATAATAAAAAAAAAAATCAAATCAAACTGAAACTGCATTAGCATGCTTGGGGAGTTTTGTACATACCAGACAGCTTGAAACATAGTACAAACTAGGTAAAACAAACTTAAAGCCACGCTAAAAAAAAATTCTGAACGCATGGCAGCATACTAAAGTCACTTTACTGCACTATTTAAAGAAGCATCAAAGAATATTCATGACTGTGAAGCTTCTAACAAAGTAGCCATTAGTATATCACAGTATGTGCATCTTCTCCTACAAGATGAGTGCAGATTCTACATGCCGCCAAGAGCATCGACTATCATGCAAAAAGGACCCGAGTGGCTAAAAGTTACTGTTTTACTCATTAACTGGAAGAGTTTTTGGAGACGAAAAACAGCCGAAAGTTCTCATCTAATCCCAAGTGCCACACTTTGATGATCTGAAATATAGTAATATAGCCAAACTGCCATTGACATTTACAACATAACATGCCCATGTATACTCAATGTGGTATACACAACCTCTTTAAATGAGAAAACTAGGGAGACAGAAACTTGTCAAGTGGCTGTATTCTATATTAGAAAATAGCTGGATGTGTTTGTATGAAGCCATGAATTCCAATCCCCAAACACTGGCTAGTCATTAATAGATGTAGGTCAGAGAGTACCTTTTAGCAATAGTTTATTTTATTGAAACACTTCCTGCACAAGCCTCTCCTGAGACTTCATGTGGATGATTTAATTTTACTAAGTTCTTCATTTCTTGAACTTGTAAATACAGTTCCAAGACCAGAAATCTAATACCTGGCTGACATAATTCCAGGAGAACAGCTGGGTAAAATTTGTTCAATCCAATCATATTTCACAGAGCTGCCAGGTAGAAAAATAGCCATGAAAAAGCCAACACTAGGAGACGCATACATAGCAAAATAGAATAAAAATCGTAGCCACATAAAAAAAGTTTTAACTAATGAAAACTACAATTTCTTGAAATATCTCCCCCCCCCCCCCTTCCCAAGTAAAGGTACCAAACTCCCAGAACATCTTAAGGTATATTGTTCATTGTATTTCTGAAATGAGAGGCTGTCACATGGATTTGATATATCTCAAAGATACTTGTCTGCTTTAGAAGAAATCATCAAAGCTTTACAATGCCTTTACATTATATATTTTAAATGTACTGTTGCATTGCTTTACTTGACTTCTAACCAAATTAAAAGTAATAAATGGGAATGTATAGTCTTTTAAATGTTTTTACAAATACTTGTAAATTGTAAAAAATCAGAGCGATATTAGTAATTAATTAATTAATTAATTTATTTTATTTTTTATCTGTGATTAGATGAGCACAAAGGGCAGCCACATTAGTTAATTACATTCCCAGGTTATTCTTGCTTAGCAATGCGACACAACGGTTTAATGCTCATTGCAATAATGTACGTCTATAGGGTAGAGTTACCAAACGAGTGGAACTTGTTCAACCAGCAAAATTAATGTTCAACCCCTAAATCAGCCCCTAGGAGTCAGAGTGGCAGACCTCTCATCTAAAAACTTGTCAAACTGCTAGGCAGAGTAACTGTAGTAGATCATTTAACCTGCCGCTAATGGCTAATTTACAGAATGTAAAAAGAAAGAAGCTTAAAAATGTAAATACCGCGATTATAATTTAAACTATATGCTTATGAAAAACACACTGAGGGGAATTTATCAAAACTGGAGCAGACAAATCTGGAGCTGTTGCCCATGGCCACCAATCAGCTTCTCACTTTAGTTTGTTCAGTTAAGATTTGAAAATGAAAGAGAGAAGCTGATTGGTTGCCGTGCGCAGCTGCTCCAGTTTTGATAAATTCCCCTCACTATATTTTCCTTGAAAACCACTCATCAGGTGCAATACACATGCCAAGAAAATGTCAATGCTACCATTAATACTCGGGGACACACGGGGATAACAGTTGTAACTTCTGTCAGGTTTGTGTGTCTTAGTTTGGGAGGATTTCACTATACTTCCAATCCAATGTGGTAGGGACACTGGGAGAAATGCATGTATTCCATTCAGTCAAACATATATTTCACTGTGACCAACAGAGACCGAAACATCTTGGCAGGTGACGGAGAACTGGGCAGTGAAGTCCAAAAACCTCCAAACCCCCATCACATACAAACAAAAGAGATACAAATTTAAATGACTTACTCCTTAGGGATAATCCCACAGGGAAATATCAGCAAATACAATTTTGCATCTCCAGTAGAAAAGCATGCTTTAGGTGTCAAAATTTGAATGCAATAATCTGTGGCTCGACATGTTTCCGGTCCACATACTGACTTTAAATACCAGATATGCGAATACTTCAATTACAACACTGGATTTTGTGTATACCTCCCAAACTGTCCTTGTCTATTGCTCTTTGCTCTAGGTGAGGAAGACAACTGGTTTGTTTAAATGCAAATCTCAGAAGCACCATAGCAATACATTGATTATATATTGATTACGGCTTTGCTGTTTTTTTTTTTTACAAACTAATGATTTTTTTCCTTTGTTTTTGACAGTTGTTTGCTACAATGGTTACTAGCATTGCACCAATAGTGATGGTGTTCTACACATGCCCTTATAGACATCCCCTGCCTTTTTCCATACACAGGAAGCATGGCTCTGTTCAGGTGGGTCCTTTCCTTATTACTTTTTGGCAAGGTTGGCTGCTTTTTGGGAATGGCTCATGTTTTTTTCTGGCATTAGCAATTTGTTGGTTCATATTATATGTGTTCTTTCTTCTATTTTGCTTCTCTGCATTTTGGAGGGTTGGCTATTTCCGGACTTCGGAATTACAAGGTACCACCGTTGGCCAACATTCTCTACTGGCTTTGGGTGACACTGCAAGACATATGAATGTGAGCAATACAAATCTGTCAGAGGTACTTCCCTACCCAATTCTCTCCCTAATAAAACAACACCTTTGGGCTGGAATTGTACTTTAACCCCTTCGTGACTG